AACTACTTCGGGAGTGAAAAAATATCGTTAACCGGGTCCACTGTATTAGGTCAGGCCCCTGACACCGCAATAATGCGCTTTTATGAATGGTTTCAATCCCCAGTTAAAATTACCATATACAATCGTAAACATACCCAGCATGTGAAACTTGAAATTTTTTGTGTTACTTACGCATACATCTAACAGATCGTTTTTTTCCCCTTGTCTATGCCCTGCACCCTAGTTGATAGCAACTGTCTGGCTGTTTCTGTCTTTCCCCCGGGTTTCTCCTGTTTTCCCCCGCTTCTCCCTTCACAGTTGTGTAAGAATAACACAAATGCAGCATGATGCGATCCTCTTTTGATTTTCATTTTGCCCCACTTTGGGCTTCGTCACGCCCACCATTTGGGATCTCCCTTGTGATTTATAAAGCCCATTTGCGGGGCGGAACGTAGCCAAAAAAGGATCTCTTATATTGCACCTGTGTCTTTTTTCCTTTTTATGGGTTAAAAACCCATTTATCTCCGTCGTCCACAAAAGGGGAATCTATTCAAAATATATACCCAAAATTTTCTTAAGTAAAACTGTCCAATATTTAAGAAAGTTTTCCGAAAGCTTAGTGTATTAACGTTTAAGAAATTTTACAAAGCTTAGTGTATAAAACGCCAACTCATGTCACGGATGGCTTTAGAACCCCCGGGCCAGCGCGTAAGCCCAAAATTTTGGCACTGGCTAAATTTTAGACTCCTCCCAGGGTTTAAACCCACACGCACAGTGGTTGTTTGAAATCATGTTATTAGTTTTTCGGAGTCGTAAGGGCAGCAAATAAAAAAACATAAAGGGAGGGGAATCGTTTTAGCATTTTTTCCCCCTCGTTACCCAAACTCGTCGCCCCGCGGGGTATCTTGCAGTCTGGGATCAGAAGCTCGTGGCCAGCAAGGGGGTTTCTGAGTTTTAGAAATATATTGGTATGAAGATTTTTTTTTTAAAGCCCTGTCACGGGGACTTTTTCTGTCTTTTTGATGTGTAGTAGTGGTGTGATGGGGGGTGGGTGGGGGGGTGTGAGGGTGGGTGTGGGGGTGGGTGTGATTTGGTGGGTGTGAGTGGGGGGTGGGGGAGTGGTGGGTGGGGTGGGTGTGAGGGGTTGGGTGTGATGGTGGGGGGGAGTGGTGGGTGTGATGGTGGGTGTGAGGGGTGGGTGTGAGGGGTGGAGGGGGTGGGGGGTGTGAAGGTAACAGTGGGGGTACAGATGTTGTGTAGATTTGGGCGATGGGACAATGGGGTGGGGAGTGGAGTGTGGGCATGGGTATGGACGTCAGTAATAACTTACCTTCCGGGGGAAAAGTAGGCGGGGGCGTGGGTTAGGCATGAGTGATGACTCACCCCCCGGGTGACGTGGGCTGGCGTGGGGTAGTCTTGGGCGAGGGGGAGCACATGGTAGATACCGGGGTCGGAGGGGGGAAAGTGAAAGTGCAGCGTCCTCTGGGGGCTGATGGTGACCCACCCCCTGAGGGGGGGGGGAAGGTGTTTAACGTGACCTACCCCCTGGCCCTTTTGGGGGGGGAAGGGTTTAGTTTGATCACCCCCCGACCCGTGGGAGGGGGGGGGTTAACAGTGACCGACCCCCTTTCCCCGTGGGAGGGGAGGGGTTAAAAGTGACCTGACCCCCCTGACCCCTTTGGGGGGGGGGGGTTAGCTTGACCTGATCCTTGACCTGTGGGAAAGGGGAAGGGGTTTAGCAGTGACCGACCCCTTGACCTGGGAGGGGAAGGAGTTAAAAGTGACCCGACCCCCGACTATGGGGGGGAGGTTTCTTGACCTGATCCTCTTCCTGTAAAGGGGGAAAAGGGGTTTTGCGTGATTGCCCCTTGACGTTGGGGAGGGGAGGGAGTTTAACAGTGGCCTGATCCCCTGACCTGTGGGAGGGGGGGGGTTTAGATGGCGGACCCCTTGACCTGTGGAAGGGAAGGGATTAACAGTGACCGACCCCTGACCTTTTGGGAAAGGGGGGGGTATAGCGTGACCTACCCCATGACCTGTGGGAGGGGAGGAGGGTTAGCAGTGACCTGACCCCCTGACCTGTGAGAGGGGAGGGAGTTAACAGTGACCTGACCCCCTGACCTGTGGGAGGGGAGGGGGTTTAGCAGTGGCGTGACCCCTTGACCTGTGGAAGGGGAGGGAGTTAACAGTGACCTGACCCCCTGACCTTTGGGAAGGGAGGAGGGTTAGCAGTGACCTGACCCCCTGACCTGTGGGAGGGGAGGAGGGTTAGCAATGACCTGACCCCCTGACCTGTGGGAGGGGAGGGAGTTAACAGTGACCTGACCCCCTGACCTGTGGGAGGAGAGGGGGTTTAGCAGTGGCGTGACCCCTTGACCTGTGGAAGGGGAGGGAGTTAACAGTGACCTGACCCCCTGACCTTTGGGAAGGGAGGAGGGTTAGCAGTAACCTGACCCCCTGACCTGTGGGAGGGGAGGAGGGTTAGCAGTGACCTGACCCCCTGACCTGTGGGAGGGGAGGAGGGTTAGCAGTGACGTGACCCCTTGACCTGTGGGAGGGGAGGCGGGTTAGCAGTGACTTAACCCCCTGACCTGTGGGAGGGGAGGGGGTTTAACAGTGACCTGACCCCCTGACCTTTGAGAGGGGAGGCTTAGCATTGATCTGATCCCCGACCTGTGGAAGGGGAGGGGGTTTAGCAGTGACCTGACCCCTTGACCTGTGGGAAGGGAGGGAGTTAACAGTGACCTGACCCCCTGACCTGTGGGAGGGGAGGGAGTTAACAGTGACCTGACCCCCTGACATATGGGAGGGGAGGGGGTTTAGCAGTGACCTGACCCCTTGACCTGTGGAAGGGCAGGGAGTTAACAGTGACCTGACCCCCTGACCTGTGGGAGGGGAGGAGAGTTAGCAGTGACCTGATCCCCTGACCTGTGGAAGGGGAGGGGGTTTAGCAGTGACCTGACCCCTTGACCTGTGGGAAGGGAGGGAGTTAACAGTGACCTGACCCCCTGACCTGTGGGAGGGGAGGGAGTTAACAGTGACCTGACCCCCTGACATATGGGAGGGGAGGGGGTTTAGCAGTGACCTGACCCCTTGACCTGTGGAAGGGCAGGGAGTTAACAGTGACCTGACCCCCTGACCTGTGGGAGGGGAGGAGAGTTAGCAGTGACCTGATCCCCTGACCTGTGGGAGGGGAGGAGGGTTAGCAGTGACCTGACCCACTGACTTTTGGGAGGGGAGGAGGGTTAGCAGTGACCTGACCCCCTAACCTGTGGGAGGGGAGGGAGTTAACAGTGACCTGACCTCCTGACCTGTGGGAGGAAAGGTTTAGCATTGACGTGACCCCTTGACCTGTGAGAGGGAAAGGGTTTTATCAGTGACCTGACCTGATCTGAGGGAGGGGATTAGGGCTTGCAGTAACCTGACCCCTTAACCTGTAGGAGGGGAGGGAGTTAACAGTGACCTGACCCCCTGACCTGTGGGATGGGAGGGGGGTTAGCATTGACCTGACCCCTGACCTGTTAGATGGAAGGGAGTCCAGCAGTGATCTTGTCTTGATCAAAAATGGATACATCCGCAGTGTGCTGCTACCCGATTCTATATAACAGCTACACAGTGGGAACAGAAGCTAAGTATGTTATACTGTCTTATTCCATCACACAGGATGGTTCACATTGTTTTAAAATCTGTCAGCCTTGGTCAGGAGACTTCAGTAGTGTCAGCCTGAGCTGAGAGACTTCAGTAGTGTTAGTCTGAGCTGGGAGACTTCAGTAGTGTCAGTCTGAGCTGAGAGACTTCAGTAGTGTTAGCCTGAGCTGGGAGACTTCAGTAGTGTTAGTCTGAGCTGAGAGACTTCAGTAGTGTTAGCCTGAGCTGGGAGACTTCAGTAGTGTTAGCCTGAGCTGGGAGACTTCAGTAGTGTTAGCCTGAGCTGAGAGACTTCAGTAGTGTTAGCCTGAGCTGAGAGACTTCAGTAGTGTTAGCCTGAGCTGAGAGACTTCAGTAGTGTTAGCCTGAGCTAAGAGACTGCAGTAGTGTCAGCCTGAGCTGAGAGACTTCAGTAGTGTTAGCCTGAGCTAAGAGACTTCAGTAGTGTTAGCCTGAGCTGGGAGACTTCAGTAGTGTTAGTCTGAGCTGGGAGACTTCAGGAGTGTTAGCCTGAGCTGAGAGACTTCAGGAGTGTTAGCCTGAGTTGGTAGACTTCAGTGCCCCAGTGCAATACACTGGAGAAAGGGCAATACACTGGAGAAAGGGCAATACACGAGAGAAAGGGTAATTCACAGGAGATAGGACAATTCACTAAAGAAAGGCAATACACTAGAGAAAGGGCAATACAAAGGAGAAAGGGTAATATACAGGAGAAAGGGAAATACACGGGAGAAAGGGCATTATACAGGAGTAAGGGCAATACACGGGAGAAAGGGCAATTCACAGGAGAAAGGACAATATACAGGAGTAAGGGTAATACACGGGAAAAAGGGTAATTCACAGGAGAAAGGGCAATTCACTAAAGAAAGGCAATACACTAGAGAAAGGACAATACACAGGAGAAAGGGTAATATACAGGAGAAAGGGAAATACACGGGAGAAAGGGCAATACATAGCAAAAAGGGCAATATATAAGAAAAAGGGAAATAGACGGGTGAGAGGGAAGGTGAACTAGGGCAGACATCACCGACATCACAAATCGGGTCTGTTGCAAGATAAACAAGATTGTTTATCACCTTAGCTTACATAACTACATACACAGCCAGACAACCAGCATACACACTCACATACACTGATGTAAAATACACACACATACTCACCTGAGCACGGTGCCGTGTGAGGGAAACTCACCTGAGTACGGCGCCTTGTAAGGGAAACTCACCTGAGTACGGCGCCTTGTAAGGGAAACTCACCTGAGCACGGTGCCGTGTGAGGGAAACTCACCTGAGTACGGCGCCTTGTAAGGGAAACTCACCTGAGCACGGTGCCGTGTGAGGGAAACTCACCTGAGTACGGCGCCTTGTAAGGGAAACTCACCTGAGCACGGTGCCGTCCTTATACCAGGTGACGGTGTCGACAGGTTCACCTGAGACGTGACACCTCAGCTCCAGTCGACCCCCAGCGTCTACCTGCACCTCCCGCGGCGTCACCTGCAATACGTGTAACACCTGTGTCAACTCCTGTAATTCTTCTGTCGACACCTGTAACTCCTTCGTCGACACATGTAACCCCTGCGTCAATAATTGTAACACCTGCGTCGACACCTGTAACTCCTGCGTCGACAATTGTAACTCCTGCGTCGACACCTGAAAGACCTGCATCGGTACCTGTAATTCCTACATCAACACCTTCGTCAACACTTGTAACACCTACGTCGACACATGCAAATAGTTGAAAGTCCAGAAAAACGTTTCAGTACAGTCTAACGTCAATTATAATTCACAACATCTAACAATAATGAATAATTCAAGCAACGTTCTATTTGCGTTTCACACTTAAGATCGCAATAAAAATGTTAACAATGTACAAGTCATACTGTCACATATTACATATTTCACAATGTATATACTCAAGCAATACACGAATGATAATCTCAAGATATACCGTTAATATCTCAAGCATTACACGAGATGATATATCTAGCATTTTACACAGATGTATGTATCAAATATGACTAATGTGTAATTAGTGCATAACACGGGAAATTATGTATCGGATTATACACGGAGAGGTGTATATATTCAAGGCATATACACGGAGAGGTGTATATATCTCAAGGCATATACACGGAGAGGTGTATATATCTCAAGGCATATACACGGAGAGGTGTATATATCTCAAGGCATATACACGGAGAGGTGTATATATCTCAAGGCATATACACGGAGAGGTGTATGTATCTCTCTTATTGTATATTTACCTAGAAGTGTGTGTATACCTCTCACTGTATATACACCGAGAAGTGCATATATATCTCTCAATGTATATTCACCGAAAAGTGTGTATATCTCTCAGTGTATATACACAAAAACATGGTGCGTATTAATCTCTTATTCAATAAAATTGAGGTGTTGAGCATATCCACAGGTTTATATGGTCTGACAACGTTAATCCTCATTTTAAGGTATTAAATAATTTTGTCATAATTGGTTGACCTCAGAGTGCCATGTCAGTATCCCCTCAGCGTGCTGTAGCTGACCCTTCGACCTCAGATTAATCACAGGTCTGTCGATTATCCCTCATCAGTGTGTCAATCTATTACCCTCAGCTAGGTGCCTGTCAGATCTTTCCCTCAGCAGGTGCCTGTCAGATCTTTCCCTCAGCAGGTGCCTGTCAGATCTTTCCCTCAGCAGGTGCCTGTCAGATCTTTCCCTCAGCAGGGTGCCTGTCAGATCTTTCCCTCAGCAGGTGCCTGTCAGATCTTTCCCTCAGCAGGTACCTGTCAGATCTTTCCCTCAGCAGGGGCCTGTCAGATCTTTCCCTCAGCAGGTGCCTGTCAGATCTTCCCTCAGCAGGGGCCTGTCAGATCTTCCCTCAGCAGGGGCCTGTCAGATCTTTCCCTCAACAGGTGCCTGTCAGATCTTTCCCTCAGCAGGTGCCTGTCAGATCTTCCCTCAGCAAGGGCCTGTCAGATCTTCCCCTCAGCAGGGGCCTGTCAGATCTTTCCCTCAGCAGGTGCCTGTCAGATCTTTCCCTCAGCAGGTGCCTGTCAGATCTTCCCTCAGCAGGTGCCTGTCAGATCTTCCCCTCAGTGTACGTAATTCGCTGACACCAGATGCTGCTTCACTTAAACAAGCTGACCTGAAACATGTATCTTGGATACTTCCCCAGTCATAGTAACTTTCCACGACCGCAGACATGCCTCAGTAACTTTCCCTGACCGCAAACACATGTCAGGAACTCGCGGTCAGTAACTTTCACTGACAATAGACATGTATCTACAATTTTCAATGACTGCAGACATGTGTCAGTAACTTTCACTGACCGCAGACATGTGTCTGTGTTTTTGTATAGATTGAGATGAATGAACTCAGGACTCCCAGCAATCTCCATTCACCTGGACAGAGATTGGAAGGATGACCAGGGGAAGGTGACTCACCTGGACAGAGACTGGAAGGATGACCAGGGGAAGGTGACTCACCTGGACAGAGATTGGAAGGATGACCAGTGGAAGGTGACTCACCTGGACAGATTGGAATAGAAGTGAAGGATTGAATGACCAGTGGAAGGTGACTTATCTGGACAGAGATTGGAAGGATGACCAGTGGAAGGTGACTCACCTGGACAGAGATTGGAAGGGTGACCAGGGGAAGGTGACTCACCTGGACAGAGATTGGAAGGATGACCAGGGGAAGGTGACTCACCTGGACAGAGACTGGAAGGGTGACAGGTGGAAGGTGATTCACCTGGACAGAGATTGGAAAGGATGACCATGGAAGGTGACTCACCTGAACAGAGATTGGAAGGATGACGAGACGAAGGTGACTCACCTGGACAGAGACTGGAAGGATGACCAGGGGAAGGTGACTCACCTGGACAGAGATTAGAAGGATGACCAGTGGAAGGTGACTCACCTGGACAGAGATTGGAAGGGTGACCAGGGGAAGGTGACTCACCTGGACAGAGATTGGAAGGGTGACCAGTGGAAAGTGACTCACCTGGACAGAGATTGGAAGGATGACCAGGGAAAGGTGACTTACCTGGACAGAGATTGGAAGGATGACCAGTGGAAGGTGACTCACCTGGACAGAGATTGGAAGGGTGACCAGGGGAAGGTGACTCACCTGGACAGAGATTGGAAGGGTGACCAGTGGAAGGTGACTCACCTGGACAGAGATTGGAAGGATGACCAGTGGAAGATGAGTCACCTGGACAGAGATTGGAAGAGTGACCAGGGGAAAGTGACTCACCTGGACAGAGATTGGAAAGATGACCAGGGGAAGGTGACTCACCTGGACAGAGATTAGAAGGGTGACAAGTGGAAGGTGACTCACCTGGACAGAGATTGGAAGGGTGACCAGGGGAAGGTGACTCACTTGGACAGAGATTGGAAGGGTGACAAGGTGAGGGTGACTCACCTGGACAGAGACTGGAAGGGTAACCAAGGGGAATGTGACTCACCTGGACAGAGATTGGAAGAGTGACTAGCAGGTGGGCAGAGTACCTGGTCTCACCAGCTGTGTTATTGGCCACACAGGTGTACTGGGCAGAGTCATCCACGCCCACACGCCCCAGTACTAGTGACCCGCCCACCATCCACATCCCACTGCTGCCACCTAGTGCACGTGACCCCTTGTACCACCTGTATGGAAGAAGCAGGGAGGTTAGTACTAGTGAACTATGCCAGAGTACATCACTAGTGACTAGAGTGCATGACTAGTGACTAGAGTGCATGAATAATGATTAGAGTGCATCACTAGTGTCTAGAGTGTATCACTAGTGTCTAGTGTACATCACTAGTGACTAGAGTACATCACTATCACTATTGACTAGAGTGCATCATAGAGACTAGAGTGCATTACTAGTGGCTTCAGTGCATCATTAGTGACTAGAAGGCATAAATAGTGACTAGAGTACATCACTAGTGACTAGAGTTCATCACTTATGGCTAGACTGCATCGATAGTAAAAAGAGTACATCCAACGCCCACGACCTCTTGTACTGCCTGTATGGAAGAAGTAGGGAGGTGTGAGTACTAGTGAACTTTGCCAGAGTACGTCACTAGTGTGCCTTACACCGAGTACCTAACAATTTATTCAGTGCTCAACACACACACACACACACACACACACACACACACACACACACACACACACACACACACACACACACACACACACACACACACACACACACACACACACACACACACACACACACACACACACACACAGGCACACGTAAAAGGAAGGGCACTGCAATGGATAAGGGAATACCTGACAAGGAGGCAGCAACGAGTGAAGAGGTATCACAGTGGCGCCTGTTACGAGCGGGGTCCCACAGGGGTCAGTTCTAGGACCAGTGCTATTTTTGATATATGTGAACGACATGATGGAAGGAATAGACTCTGAAGTGTCCCTGTTCGCAGATGACGTGAAGTTGATGAGAAGAATTAAATCGGACGAGGATGAGGCAGGACTGCAAAGAGACCTGGAGAGGCTGGACATGTGGTCCAGTAACTGGCTTCTCGAATTCAATCCAGCCAAATGCAAAGTCATGAAGATTGGGGAGGGGCAAAGAAGACCGCAGACAGAGTATAGGCTAGGTGGACAAAGACTACAGACCTCACTCAGGGAGAAAGACCTTGGGGTGACCATAACACCGAGCACATCACCGGAAGCACACATCAACCAAATAACTGCTGCAGCATACGGGCGCCTGGCAAACCTGAGAATAGCGTTCCGATACTTTAATAAGGAATCGTTCAAGACACTGTACACTGTGTATGTTAGGCCCATACTGGAGTATGCAGCACCAGTCTGGAACCCACACCTGGTCAAGCACGTCAAGAAGTTAGAGAAAGTACAAAGGTTTGCAACAAGGCTAGTCCCAGAGCTCAAGGGAATGTCGTACGAGGAAAGGTTACGGGAAATCGGACTGACGACACTGGAGGACAGAAGGGACAGGGGAGACATGATAACGACATACAAGATACTGCGGGAAATAGACAAGGTGGACAGAGATAGGATATTCCAGAGAGGGGACACAGGGACAAGGGGTCACAACTGGAAGCTGAAGACTCAGACGAGTCACAGGGACGTTAGGAAGTATTTCTTCAGTCATAGAGTTGTCAGCAAGTGGAATAGCCTAGCAAGTGAAGTAGTGGAGGCAGGAACCATACATAGTTTTAAGAAGAGGTATGACAAAGCTCAGGAAGCAGAGAGAGAGAGGATCCAGTAGCGATCAGTGAAGAGGCGGGGCCAGGAGCTGAGTCTCGACCCCTGCAACCACAATTAGGTGAGTACACACACACACACACATACACACACACACACACACTCACACAGGTTTTGCATTCCCTCTATAGCAAACAACCTGGAAGTTAGTTCAGAGAGCTTGCTGAGGGGCCCCGGCTACTCTGATTCGTTGTCGGGTTTATGCATCAACTAACTGGGTGAGAGGTTGACCCCAGCCAGATAGAGGCTATGTTTCCACACCTGGCTGGAGGCAGTCTCTCGCCTCTGGTCTATCCTGTATAAAGTGAAAAGATAATCACAGTGAGTGATCTCTCTCTCACTCATTATCATATTGTCGCTGTTTTTGTACTTTTTACATACTGTAAATATTATTGAAGGAATATTCAGGTGCTCAAAAATTACCCTTTGTATGTATGCCATCGTCTTTATTTGCTTGGGAATTATTCTTTGTCTAGAGACTTGATTTACGGCTGATTTACGGCCAGCTACAACAGAAGTCTATCTTCACGTATGCTTGTTCATAACTAGTGGCTAGAAAACATTACTGAACACCTGGGTGAGTCTTTTAGAACAGAAAAAACTGCTAGGTAAATCCTCATATTCTACAGTCAGGGTGGAGGAATAAAAACACTTGCGCGAGATCACTCCATGAGTGAGGCCTCTTTGAAAGTCAATTTCCCTTCAGTCACTGAGCCAAAGAAAGCTGAAGCTCCGTTAAATTATAAGGACACAAATGTAACTAATGTGACATTTTATTGTGGCAACGTTTCGCTCTCCAGGAGCTTTATCAAGCCGTTACAAACAATGTTTGTAACGGCTTGACAAAGCTCCTGGAGAGCGAAACGTTGTCACAATAAATGTCACATTAGTTGCATTTGTGTCCTTTTACTTAACATATTACCGGTAATTCTACCAATATTAATACAAAGCTGGAACTCTCTTCGGTCATCATCTTAAGCCGAGTTTAGGCTCGTAAGAGCTCCAGAGAACTGCTATATTATTAAAGAAACAGTAATTTTTTGTATCATTTTCTTGACTCGTTACTTGTGAAAGCAACATTTCAAGATGTTTTAAACTTTTATTCTGTATACTTTTGTAATTACGAATCTTTCCCAGTAGTTCTTTAGACCTGATAGTGACAATAAGTGGAGAAATTTAAATTTAGACAGAATATAGAAATGCACTAGTTTAGTAGCAGGGATATAGATGAGTGGAACATTTTTTTTTAAGCACAGTCAATGAAGCGAGAACCTTGGGTAGCTTCTACAGCAGCATAACGGACTTAATGAACATTAAAATGGTATAAAATACCGACAGATTGTTAGGTAAGACACATATGCAACAGTTAGGTATCTTTATTTCGAAACGTTTCGCCTACACAGTATGCTTCTTCAGTCGAGTACAGAAAAGTTGATAGAAGCAGAAGATACTTGAAGACGATGTAATCAGTCCATCAAGTCTTCAAGTATCTTCTGCTTCTATCAACTTTTCTGTACTCGACTGAAGAAGCCTACTGTGTAGGCGAAACGTTTCGAAATAAAGATACCTAACTGTTGCATATGTGTCTTACCTAATAAAGGACTTAAGTTAGATAAATTTAGATTTAGAAAGGACATAGGTAAGTACTGGTTTTCGAGCAGAGTTGTGGATGCGTCGAGCAAACTTCCGAGTAGGGTGATAGAGGCTAGGACCTTGGGTAGCTTATAAAAAGAGACTGAATGAATATATGAGTGGGAGGGGCTGGGTTTGATCGGTGTCATGGGTAAGGATGTAAATTCTTGGGTAGCTTTGGGTAGTGGTGGCTTTGATAAGGACCTGCCTTTATGGGCCAGTAAGCTTTCTGCAGTGTTCTTCCATTCTTATTTTCTTATGTTCTTATTCAAGGTTTGAAGCCGATCGCAAGAGACATTCTCCAGCTAGTGTATTGAAAGCGATTTGTTTAACAAAATTTGCAAATTAAAACTTACGATACTCGAAGTTAATATAAACTAGGTTGGACAGGTACATGAGTTAGTGTGGGTGGATGTGACATAGACCTGCCTAGCATGGCCCAGTAGGCCTACTGCAGTACATTCCACTATTCTCACGGTCTAAGGTGTATATAACCGAGAATAGCAACAGTGACCACACGAAAGCTCTTGTTCGCAGAAGGCTCCAACTTCACCCTCTACCTAGCTGAAGTGTTGCTCAATATTAAATAATACACACGTCTATAAAAATCACTTTACGATCAAGTAAATGCCAGGGCTGGGCTTTGGAACGACCTCAGGTAAGATAAGAGCTCTTAGCTGGTAAAACACATGGTTGGAACTCCCATTCTTAATCCTGTACAACCCTAAAGTGTTAGTTTAGGAAAAAAAGAAAGAGATGGGGAAGGGGGAGAAAATAATTGCATAAGTAGGAGAGAAAAAATATTGAGATTTAAGGATAAGGGAAGAAAGGTCAAGAAGGGGAGGAGAAGGAAAGGAAGAAGGAGAGGGCGAGGGGAGAGGGGGAGAGAGAGTTATGGGATGGAGAAGGGACGGACGGTAGAGATGTAGGGAAGAGGTAAAGAGGGGTGGGGAGGGAGGGGGAGAAGAGACAGGAGGGATGGAAGAGTGAAAAGGGAGGAGGAAGAGAAGAGGAAAAAGTAAAGAGAAAGTTTGGAAAAGGAGACTTTGTGATAAGAAAAGATGAAAAGGAAAAAATGGAAATCCAGAGAAAATTTTGGATTTAGAAAATATGAGGACCAGAGGATGAGGGGGAAAGACTAGAGAGGCAAAAATATCAAGGAAAAAAGGTGAGAATGAAGGAAGAGGGACGCTAAACTTGCGAGGGAAGACAGGAAGATAAAAAGTGTGACGTAGGAGAGAGATAGATGTGACAAAAAAAATGGGTCAGAGAAGAAAAATGAGAATAAAGTGCAAGGCAGAAGATGAAGGAAGAGAGGTGAAATAAGTATAGTGATTTAGAAGCATAATTAATAATGAGAGAGAGAGAGAGAGAGAGAGAGAGAGAGAGAGAGAGAGAGAGAGAGAGAGAGAGAGAGAGAGAGAGAGAGAGAGAGAGAGAGAGAGAGAGAGAGAGAGAGAGAGAGAGAATTTACGTATACTCATCCCTATGTATAAATATGCGACATCTGACTTGGTATAGTGTACTTTTTTTACTACTATTAAACACTCGGGTATCTTTTACCCACCACTTTAATACTTCCAGCACTTACTGCAGTTCTCTTTCACCAGTCCAGATTGTTTTCTTACACAGGAAATTACATTCCAACAGGAGAAGAATTTTCCAACACATTTTCTCTGGAAGCGTCCCACAGCAGTAGGCTAATGCACGGGTACCTATTTTACTTTTAGGTGGCCAGGGGCGGCTGGTGAAAATTTCCCATGTTTCAGTGCCA